ACGCGCACCAAGTTATGGGTTATTCTTCTACCTTTACCCTTACTATTACCATATTTATTTGAATAAACGCCCCGCTTTGCATAAATTCCCCCTTGAATAACCGCTCCCTTGAATAAGCAACCTCTCCCATCCAGAACCTCATTTGAATAAATGTCTCCCTCAATTAAACACCCTTCTCAACAATAAATTCCCTTATATTGTACTTCATTCATGATTTTCTAAAAATAATGCATAGCACTCTCACTGTAAAAATTACAAGAAGATAGTGATCTATCTTCTTTTTTTTTTTTGACACACACAGTGTTTTAATATACTGTATTCAAGTTCCGTAATTATTCTTGCTCCCAATATATAAACCTTTTAATTATGGTAATTGAATCATCAATCTTTTTGCAACCACCTTTCTATTAGTGGATGTATAGAAATTTGTATTTTTAATGTCAGGCTTAAGGGGAAATGAAAATTGTTGATGTTCTACAACTGTTTTTTGTAAGACACAAAAAGTATATTTGATGAAAAACAAGATAGAGAATTTTGAATATTTATAAAGTGGGGGAAATGGGGATATAACCACCTTTTTTCCACCTCTAAGCAGTGTAGCATCACTGGATGACCTAAGTGGGTGAACTGGTTGATAGGAATTAATGAGATTGCTTAAGTAATATGGACCAGTGTACATTCGTGCTTTATATGTAAATGTGAGTATCTTATATTGAATCCTGCGATGAACTGGTAGCCAATGAAGAGATTTAAGAACAGGTGTGATGTGTTCACTGCGCTTAGTTCTGGTGAGTAGCCTCGCTGCTGAGTTCTGAAGTCGCTGTAATTTTGCAATATAACAATTTGGAACACCATACAGCAGACTATTTAATGAGTACATCCGCGAAGAAACAAAAGCATGAATCGTGACAGCGGCTGCATCATCAGTAAGATGTTTTCTGGCTAATCTGATGTTGTATGGCTGATGATAGGTAGTTTTACACACTGAATGTATGTACGATTTATAAGATAATGTTGAATCAATAATTGCTCAGGACTAGATTGCGTATTTGATCCTTGGAAATATCTCCAATTTCTTTCTAGCTGTCGTCGTTTCTGTTTCTCGAGGATTAGACTATTAGATAGTCCACGAGGCCTATGTCTGTCAATGATCATTCTACGATGTTCAGGAGCATGTTTGTCAAGGAGCTTACGTAATTCTCTGTTATAACTTTGGACTGAGCTGGTGACGTCAGCAGAAGTCAGAACTTCCTGAAAACATTTACTCAGATCAGTTCTAAACATATCCATTTGACTATACTTCATATATACGATTTCCTTTTTGATTGGTGGAGATTTAGTTAAAGAAATATCACATGAAACACATGCATCATCATGTATTAATTTTTTTTTCATATTTATTTTTATTTACTATCTATTTTTTTTATTTACATTTATTTAAGTATTTTTGGATGTAGGTAAAATAGTTATGAAAACTGCATTAATAAAAAAAATTACATTAGGTATTTTAAACAAAAATAATGGAAAGCATAATGTCAAAAGATGGAACAAAAAAGAGGTACTGTACCTGTAGTATATTTTAAGTGTTGTGTGAATTTTAAAATACATTGCAGTATATGTATACAGGTCACTTAATGAGTATAATAATAATTATAATAATTCTTTATTGGTCTTTGTTTTTATTTTGTAATATAATTTGTATTATCATGCTGATAACCCTGTGTCATTTCTCTTGAGGATATATTCAGCTCATTACGTAGCAAAAGCATGTGTTTACTTCACAATGTACGTTTACGCTACTGTTTTGTGGGGCCTTAGCAACAAAATTCAAGTGGCGGGCTTTAAGGGGAAAGCTTGGATTAACCAAGAATCAAAGACTCGCAAAATAATCTCCACGGCTCAACTAGATGCTGCTCATACTTGTGAAAAATATATTACGGACCACGCCCATACACAATTCAGCACAATGACGCGCACCAAGTTATGGGTTATTCTTCTACCTTTACCCTTACTATTACCATATTTATTTGAATAAACGCCCCGCTTTGCATAAATTCCCCTTGAATAACCGCTCCCTCGCATAAGCGACCTCTCCCATCCAGAACCTCATTTGAATAAATGTCTCCCTCAATTAAACACCCTTCTCAACAATAAATTCCCTTATATTGTACTTCATTCATGATTTTCTAAAAATAATGCATAGCACTCTCACTGTAAAAATTACAAGAAGATAGTGATCTATCTTCTTTTTTTTTTTTGACACACACAGTGTTTTAATATACTGTATTCAAGTTCCGTAATTATTCTTGCTCCCAATATATAAACCTTTTAATTATGGTAATTGAATCATCAATCTTTTTGCAACCACCTTTCTATTAGTGGATGTATAGAAATTTGTATTTTTAAAGCCAGGCTTAAGGGGAAATGAAAATTGTTGATGTTCTACAACTGTTTTTTGTAAGACACAAAAAGTATGTTTGATGAAAAACAAGATAGAGAATTTTGAATGACCTAAGTGGGTGAACTGGTTGATAGGAATTAATGAGATTGCTTAAGTAATATGGACCAGTGTACATTCGTGCTTTATATGTAAATGTGAGTATCTTATATTGAATACTGCGATGAACTGGTAGCCAATGAAGAGATTTAAGAACAGGTTTGATGTGTTCACTGCGCTTAGTTCTGGTGAGTACCCTCGCTGCTGAGTTCTGAAGTCGCTGTAATTTTGCAATATAACAATTTGGAACACCATACAGCAGACTATTTAATGAGTACATCCGCGAAGAAACAAAAGCATGAATCGTGACAGCGGCTGCATCATCAGTAAGATATTTTCTTGGCTAATCTGATGTTGTATGGCTGATGATAGGCAGTTTTACACACTGAATGTATGTACGATTTATAAGATAATGTTGAATCAATAATTGCTCCTAGATTGCGTATTTGATCCTTGGAAATATCTCCAATTTCTTTCTAGCTGTCGTCGTTTCTGTTTCTCGAGGATTAAACTATTAGATAGTCCACGAGGCCTATGTCTGTCAATGATCATTCTACGATGTTCAGGAGCATGTTTGTCAAGGAGCTTACGTAATTCTCTGTTATAACATTGGACTGAGCTGGTGACGTCAGTGATCTCCACGGCTCAACTAGATGCTGCTCATACTTGTGAACATATTAAAACTCAAATGTGTATCATTATCATTATTTTCTTTCAGCTGACTGAATTGTGTGAACGTTTGACAAACAACAACGATGACTATGCCCTGTATTTAACTGATGTAACATATGACAATTTTGCAGTGGCAGCAGATGGAAGTGTGTATGTTATAGATGCCGAAAATATTGTCGTAGTGGATAAGAAAAAGATTAGAAATGGTAAGGCAGCTTAAATAAAATATGAAAATTGCATTTTTTAATGATATTACTTCTATCTACACAAGGGCGGATTTGGGGAAAGAAAAAAAAAATAAAGAGAAAAAATGAAATCACTGATCACCCAAAACGCCTTAGAGGTGTCTAGAAAACAAAAATGTTTTTACCCTTACTTATAGGGTAGAGTTTACTCTCAATTGACCCCTTTTTGGGGACTTCGAGCCCCTCCCCTCCGATGTCTCTGTATCCACCCCTGCTACAATCTATTGTAATCTGCTAAAAGTAACAATACTAGGAAAAAGTTTGTGTTGTCGAGGCACAATTGACCCAAAATTTTGAGCTCAGGTCGGCTTTTGTTTTTAAATATTTTTTCCTTAAAAATAAAGCCTTAAATAATTGTATGATGTTTGAAAGTACTGTTTTCAATACTTTCTAAGCTATTGTATAATAATTATGGTAATTTGATTAACCATGGATTTTAGTGGTACATATATAGGGTAGCTTGAAAAGCTTGCTGCACCCCCTCCTCAGTTTACCCTTCCCACTGAAAATTCACTTCTTTCAAGTGGATAACTAAAATGTTACCTAATGAACATCTTTTCTAGAGATTGTCTGTTTTCTCCTCTGCTTTGTTAGTAATATCATTCATATTGTTAAGAAAAATGTAAGCGGTTCTCTCTGGCTTCCCATAAAAGCAGCCATTAAAAAAGTTTTCAGAAGGTGATTACTAGAATGAAGGAACTAATAAATTCATGACCGACTGACCATGATTTACAATTTTCACTGAGATTGGAAAACAACGTTTTATGTTTAGTCTAGTCTAGTACTTGTTATGGCATAAAATTGGAGCCTGTACTAGTTTTAGACAATGACCTATAATAATGTGAGTATGTATGGTTAAAAAAAAAACAACATTTGATCAAAAATCATTGAAGTAAACAAACATGTTAGATTAAAATGAAAAAAAGAAAGTAGAACTGTGAATGATTAGATCAATGAAAAAGAAGTGTAGAAATGTTTCTGAGAATGCAGGGATGTGGTGCCTAGTTAAAAACATTAGCTTCAGCATACAATATCCTCAATAAAAAAAAAAAACCCTAATAAAATTTAAATACTATTGGGATTTAATATAGCTCACATGTGGTTATAACGTAAGCACACCACTTCCTCTGTCACACAACTACTTGCCGTCATTTGTGAAATGCCGAAATCCCAACTGTTTCAATAATGCAGACGGAAAAAACATTTATGCTGTGAGAAAGCATTTGCTTTATTTATACAGTAGATCTCAAATTCTATTGCGAAAGGACAGTATTTTTTCTTAATTTAATTTTTTCCCATACATGTTGTTGATTTAGATAGATGTGTTTGAATGTTAGGATCCATTATACTAACAGAATCATGCACGGCTTGTTTAGATGTCAAATCATTTGTGACAGATTTATGTGTTATTGCACTTAAAGCCCCCATACACACTGATTAGCTTTTTTATCGGTACTTTGTTTTCTGATTGGACTGATGAAGGGACTCAAATTCAAGATTTCAAAACTTAACTGACTAGGAAGGTGATGTTATTAATTGATAATGATAATTAATTGATAATGCAATGCTTTTTGCTAATATTAATTGTTGGTAGATTGTCATTAAAAGGGATTCTTTGCATGCACGTCGGTGCAGTGTTTTTCTGAATTTACATCATTACTATTAAAAGAACATGAAACAATTAAAATTAGAAAATTGTGATGCAATTTTCTTTTATTATTATTATAGTTATTATTAAAGTAAAAAATAATTACAGGTCTCTATCCAATTAAAGACCATTTTTGCGACCAGGATTTACATGGTCCTTAGCAGCTTTAGTCTTTAATAATAGAAAAATTATTTTTATAAAAGAATAAAAAGATAGGCATTTGGGGCTGTAAAAAGGCGGTATTTAATTGGAGGTGGTCTGTAATCAGAGGAAGGATTGTCATTATTATAGGGTGCATTAACACTGACTGCCAGGGGTTTGAAAAAATAGTATTAGCCACTGCCAGTCTTTTTCGCAAATTTTAACACTTTTCCAAAGCTAGTTGAGAGTGCGTACGTAATCAGATTGACATGTAGTGAATACTACAAGAACTACAATCATTTTAGCTTTACAATGATACCAAACACTTTATTCTAATCACATTCTGTGACCTGTAACAGTAAAATGAAAATGACTCACTTTTGGAGATTTGCGAAATTTCGCACGACAAAGCTGAGACAATTGCGATTTTGTGAAAATATAGCAATACGGCTCTACGCTAATGTAAACAAACAAATAGTGAAATACTTACGGTCCAGACTAAAATAAGTATTCAAATTGTTACAGTAGTACAGGTTGGTAGTTACCCCATCTATTCAAGCATTGCGTTACCAAACATGGAGATCTCTGTGTTTTGCGGGCAGAGTGTTAATAATTATTTTTTGTTTATTATATGCATGACTCTGCTTCTGACAGATTGGCAGCAGGGCCATATGAAAAGAAGTACAAAATATATAGAATTTTAATCAGTCGAGAAAACTAGCTTTTAAAGTGTTTTTTTGTCAATATAATAATTCATTAGTATCTGTACATTTTTCTCATTCTATTCATTATTTTTTTTCATTAACTCTGTCAATCTCTTTGAATTCATCTATTGATTCTGTAACATTTATTCTTTTATTCATTAATTTTAAATGATTTACAGTATGTACATGTATGTATCCATCAAATGGTTGTCAAATGGTTTTCAGCTTTTGAAATGAGCAGCGTGTAGACTTGTGATGCTATAATTTTTAGAATGCATATTGAAATTCTATTTTATTGTCAATCTGCAAAATCTTTATTAACAGATTTAGCGGGTAAACAAAGGGCACAAACCCCCAGTTCGCAACTCTTATGCTTCTGGTTCTGGTGGGTACCGACCTCAAGGACTCCAAAAGTGTAGGTTACCCCCCCCCCCCCCTTTACTTCATTTTTTACAATGTAATTGTAATAGGAAAGTAAAGACTTGTTGAGATAAAAAAAAAATTTAAAATAGATGAGACCATTAGGATAGTTTGCTATATTAATTATATTAAATTAATATTGTCCAATAACATTAGTAGTGTGCTTTTATTGTTATTATTATTGTTGTGTAGTAGTTGACAATCGCTACTTAATTCTTACAACTTACTGTATAAATAATTTTTTAGTCTAAATGATAATGATGAACTACTCAATTAAGCAGGAGGAGGTTCATTAGCATTAACACCAATTAATAGATCATAGGTTGATGTATGAGTAGTCACAAACCTTTTATGATTAATGCGTAAATGAGAAAGAGATTACGTAGCAGATTGGTTGTGGATAGAGTATGTTGATACTACGGTTGCTGCAATTTGCACACGTACATTGAAAGAATTTGCATTGCGCTTTTTAACATGCGAGTGAACAAACCATTTGACAGAAGTGGATATAGAGAACCTACTGTTATAATACATTTTAATCCATGGTGTATTATTAAGTAGAGTATAAATATAATGCGACGTCATCATTTTTAATATTCCATTTAATTTTCCTATTCCTGAATTAACACAATTTTATACTGTGTTCAGTATGTATTCAAGTAATATTTATTTCACAAAACAATACAGTAACTCAAGATATATGCAATCAATTTGTAATAAAATTTAATTATTGTGAATTATTGTGGCTTTTGTTCAAAAAGCTAAACATACCTGTTTACTATGAGACTGCATTTAATAGGCCCAGTCAAATGCACACAATGGGCCTAACAAACCTTTGTATAGATAGCATTGGTGAGATAAAAGGGTGATTGACATTTTAAGCAATTATTTTCAAGTTATTTAGGGTGCTTTAGAAGATATAAAGGAAGCTGATTTGAGTCATTATTTTACATAAAAAATTGACTTGAACCTCTGCGGAGCTTTGAGAATTTTTTCGAAGGGAATAATTGGCTCCTTCGGCTCCTATTTTCCAACACTGCCTTCACATAAGTAATTGCATATTACTCTATGCTTCCAAGTCAATTTATGAGGCTTAGGCGAGGTGATTATCGGTGGAGTGATGGTGCATACTGTAAATACTCCAAGAGGCTTAGGGATTGGAAAGTTGATCATGTTTGTGGTGCTTTATTAAGAGGCTTGCAGCATAATTATTACTCTGTTTGGTGATGCGTAGTCAAGTGTTCAGCCGGGGCACTCACTGTGTTGTGTGACAGTTGTGCGACTGTCGTACAACGAATCCAACTCCACTCCCTGTGACTGTGAGCGCTAAGACCATGCGACGCCATTTGCTGATTGTCGGTGTCAGTCTGAACGCATCCTCATTAAAAACGATCCTTTGCATGTGCATTGTGGTGTTGCATTCTCGATAGAATCGCTTCGGCCGACGACTGTCAGATGCAGTGAGTGCCTCCAACTTCAATGATCATTTGAAAGCGACAATTTCTTCAGGTGCGGATCCAGGATTTTCCCTAACCTTCGTTCAGATGGCGTATAGAGGGTACTCAGGGAGGGACCTTCACAAATGGACACCTCAGCCCCACTATTGTTGCGGCTGAGGTAAAGAAAAATTAAGATTACGCCTTCTAGATGACTGGAGATTGCACTCTCAGGATTTGAATATAATTTTCAGTTTTTTCTCAATTCTTTAAAAATAATTTTGAAATTTTACCAGGGTGGGGCTCAGTTGGATATGGTAGTTTTTAGAATTGTAATCAGCACACACCCCCAGGGCCGTAGCCAACGGTAAGGTTGGTGAAGTTTCAACCTGACCACTTTTTGACAGACCACAAGTTACGACGCCTAACATAAATTAATTGTCACTTAATTTGTATTTCAGATAAACCAGCAGACTGGGACGTTGCACTGGAGGCAATCAATGATGACTGCAAAGGTGTAAACTCTGACTGCTTGATGTTCTCTCCCGATCTGCTATGTAGCAGGCTACAGGCTGATCACAATTACTTTGCACTCTGTCATGCTATTCTTGGTCAGTTTGTTTGTTTGTTTGTTTATTTATTTTTGTTTATTTTTTATTTATTTATTTATTTATTTACTTATGCAGAGTCTGATCATATGGGACCCTCAACATGTAACAATACAAATTGCAGAAAAACGACTAACTTAAAACTACATTAATCAGAAAATATAAAACATTAAATACAAGCATTTAACATGAATTTTATTTATAGATTTGTCTATTTTTATAATTTGATCTTAGTCTAGGTTTTAATCCTGTAATATTGAGACCTATATATCATTTTCTGTCTGATTTTTAAAAGTACATACAATCTAGATAATTGACAAATTATTGCCATTGTTTTTCGTAAACATTAATAAAATTAAAATTTGTATATTATAATATAAATTTATTAGTTTTCAACTGAAAATTTTAAGAAAAGTTGTCCTCTTAAAGTTCAAATGTTTATATATTATCATTACAAAGGGGCGCTATATACATGCTCGGTAACATAAAATTACATACTACAGTTTTTGCATAATAAATGTTTGCCAGCAAATTTAAGGATTTTGTAATACTGTAAGAATATTAATCAATTAATGACAATTTTATTTAATTTTAGAAATTTTTTTTCTTGTGGTAGTGACAATTTTTTAAAACTTATTCCAATCTAGGTCCTGAAGCCACGCACTCACTTATGTATGGTGGACTTTTGCACGACATTCCAGGAACAGTCCTCGAGAAACAACAGCTGCTTCATTTATTGGCAGAGTGCCAGCAACCAAAAGAGCGCTACGGCCGTTTCAAAGCTTTCCCTGCACTCATGGCACTTCTCAAGAAATTAGCTGAAGAAAGCAGGTAATGGAAGGTGTTATGGGTGATATTAAAGCTGAAATTGATGCTGAATGAGTGGCTCTTGGGGCCTTTGCAGAAATATACAGTACCGGTATTAGCGACAGAGGGAGTTAAAAATAGCAACATTGATAAACTGTGTCATAGTTGCTGATGTAACAGGGTTCCAGTGTATGCCCATCACATGAAAACTGTATTCAGCAAAGATAAAAATTGCTTTTTTTTTCCCAACTCAACTAGTTTGGATGAAGACATTTGTGGGGAGCATAGGCACGGACAGTTTGAACCGTCAACCTTGATGTTGGGCGTTTGAGTTTCTCGGTGTCCAAGGCATGTTATCCACATTTTCTCTCTAATCAAGTGCATAAAGTGGGTACCTGAGAGTATCTAATACAAAGTGCTGATTGTACCTTCGTATGGAATTGTGCTCCTCAGGGAGCTAAAGACATGTTCCATAGTCGTTGGATCCAATGACTGGAGTTATTAATAATAGAGTGCATAGAGGTCATAGTTTATTGGAATATGCCCTATATGGGGCATTATTAGGGAGCTTTTGATTGCTTGATGACGGTAGGACGTCACTAACAATCATCTGCGCATGCGAGAAATGTTAAGTTCTCCTCGTGTTGATTCTAGGATTCAATTTGGCCAAATCTATGTATGCAGAGAACGTATCACGTCCGGTAGGTCCGTCACGCATGAGTGATTCTGCTCTAGCGTCACCTTGTTGAACAAATGAAAAGCTCCCTACTATTAATGTGATGAGTAAATAACCAAAATACACTTATTCAAGCATACATGAGCCTTCAGGTGTCTTCTGAAGAAGCAGTTATGCAAGAAAAGGGAAATCTATATTAACTGTATAGTTTACTTGCAAAGTTCTGCAATGATGGTCTATAGAGGGAGACTCTACTATTTATAATATAATATAGTCTACTTAGATATACTAATATATAATTATGCATATACAGATCCGCTGAGCGGTGTCCGTTTAGTACGAGAATGTGTAAAAAATCATCAAACACGGTCAAAAATGCCTGAGAGGACAGGGACTTCTTCCCCTACCCCACCGTGGCTCTACACAACCCCAGGGTAGTAAGGTCCTGGGGCCCCAAACCTTTTTGTTACGCCACTTATTCAGCCTACTATCTGAAACACTAGAGGGGCATCTGTGAAACAGAACCAGGGACCTAAACATCCCCACCTACGCAACGAAGGTCAAATATAGATTGATCAGTGGCGGATCCAGGAATTTGAAATAAAGTTGGCCCAGGGATGAACTTTCACATAGTCTGGCCCACCTCAGCTCTACCATGGTTGGGGCCGAGGTAAAAAAAATTATGATTATGGCACGTCTAGATGGCCTGAATGGCACTCTCAGATTTAAACTTGATTATGATTTGGCCTTTTTTCTCCATTTCTTTTTATAATTTTGAAAAATTTAGGGGACCCAGGCTGGCTTTCCCCTCCCTTCCCCCCACCATTGAATCCAACACTGCTGATCTAATAACAATTTGTTGACACTTGTGGGTTTCCTAAATTCTAATAGAGTACAGTGTAAAGTGTTCTATTTTCCCTATGATCTAATGGTACTCAGAGTTTATTGTAACACACACCATGATGGAGAAGCCTGGATGTGGGTTGCCAGGTTTATATCACATATATCTCACTACATGTTTTCTTTGCTTTTACTAAGGCTTCTTGCAAGGTTTGTGTTTTGCTTTCTTTTTGTAGTGAACTTGCTCTTCACCTCAATTTGCCATTAGCAGCTGCAGACTTCATTTACTCTCAGGGTTTCAGCTGGTGTCTCTGCAGTTGCACTCAATCTTCTCTTTAAATACTTATTCTCTTGATGCAGTGTCTTTCCATCCTAAGACTAACCTATCTCTGATCTTCTCTTCTTCTAGCATTTCAAACTTGGAAGTGACTGCCAAGTGGCACTGACGAATCGACAAATTACTTTATCGATTCCTCTTGTTGCTGTGTTGCCGAATGGAACTGAACCCTTCCATATAGTGCATTGTGTTTAATCACAAGTGCTTCTTCTAGTGCAGTTTTAATTTAGTTTGTGTCTGCCATCTGCTCTGCTAAAAGTTCTTCTAATTAACTTTCTGTAGCCCTTTACAGTTCATCGGCAAAGGAGCTGGTATCATGCATGAATCTGTATCTCTATTTTTGTTTGTATTCATTTTCTTTTTTATTATTATTTTTTTAAAATAAAAGAATGCACACACTAGTACTTGCCAAACTAGTTCCAGTAGAAATACTTTTTTTCCTCATGAATGAAAACAACATTACTTTAAGGAGTAAGAAAATAAGGGGAAATAACCCTTGGTATTTGTAAAACATCATGCATTATATCTTATTACCACCCTGACCTTCCTGTTACATTTATAAATAGTTCTAAATAAACAAAAAAAGTAATAGAAATAATAATATTGATTGTTAATCGGGTTCAGGAAACAAACTTTAAGAAATGTCGATTATTATGCTATATATAACAAATATAATGTCAACTAGTACCTATAATAAATAAATAACTCTAATTATTTTAATAATAACACTCATATTAAAGTAATTAGATTGTATTGCATCATGTGTTTTACATAGGCCTACTGTACCTGACTTGTTGCAATGATAATTGTATTAATTTAATGTGAAATTGGTGTAATGTTATGTTATATGTACTCTATTAATTATAAGCTGCAACTTTATTAAAAATGGAATATAATATTTCTAGTGATGCTACTAAAAGGAACAGGGTTTGCTAATTATTTAAAAATGGTTTTCATTAGGTTATTTACAGTATAACTTTTTATTTCTATTTATCTTTTTTAAGAAAATTAGTGATGTCGAGAGCAGTTCGTACAATACAGGAGAAAATAATATTATATAATGTACCGTATAAATTCTGTCTAACACTTTGAGTGGTGAAGCACTCGGTTTTAGTGTAATATGGAGACATAAAATATTTTTAAAATAATGTCTTTAAATGAAGAGGAAATAAATAATACAATGATTTTAAATAAATACATGATATTGGAAATATGACATTAGTATATCATTTATTTTTTACCCAATACAAAATACTAAAAAAGGAGTTTTTTAAACAGTGACAAAGGTAACTAAAGTGTGCACGGTTGTTGCCCTATTTTACTCCTGGCCATATTAGGCGTAGTGTAGTTTTTTTTAAGCCACGACGAAGATTATGACGATGACGGCGGCAACGATAAATGATGACGATGCGAGTAGTGATGATGTTTTCATTATCATGATGATGATGGAGTTGAATAGAATATATATATATATAAATATACATATATATACATTATACACATATATATACATATATATACACATATATACATATATATATACATATATACACATATATACACATATATATATATATATACATATATCATGATATATTAGTACGATCTAAATTCAAGAGGCAAACTAACTCTTGCGACAACCGTAATTTGGGTAGTCATCTTTATGGTTCATCATGCAAAACATGCTCCTTGCTTGATTCTACACAATCATTCAAGAGCAACCAAACAAACCACATATTTCGGATAAGGCAATCAATTAATTGCCTCACCAAAAATGTCATTTATC